ATAACGATACCTGATTATTATCTAATATATAATATAAAATAATCTTTTATCTAATTGCAATTATTAAAGTAATACCTAAGATAAAATAAATCATCAAGTAACACCAATCTAATTTAAATGTGCTTAATAGTATCTAGAGAATCACAATAATTTATATTGATAATTAAAAGGTTGTATTATGATCTTATTTTTCAATTATGATAAAACAGTAAATAATCTTAAGTATAATTTGAATTATTTAAATACTTAAGGTATTTTGAGATATAATTGTTCTTATTATACAAAATGTAATATTAAAGAGCATATATATGAAATGAATTAATGTAGAAAAATAAGATCCTTCTGTTTCTATAAAATGGAGCTTTGTATTCAATGTAATGTTTAAGAGTTCAATAGTAAATGATAAAAGCATGGAAATAATAGATATTTAATTATTTGAGTTTATAGATAAATTTTGAAATCCTGTAAAAAAGATTGGGATAAATAGTAAATAATGATTAATAAACATTAAATAATAGATTACTGAATTAGTTTTGATTAAGTTTTTCATATAAGAGATTGTCAGTATGTTAATGAAAACAAAAATGATTATTATAATTGTAGCCGTGAAATATAGTGCAAAAGATGTATTAGTTGTTAATAAAAAACTGATCCTGTATCGTTTGGCAATTTCTAAAATTAAGCTAAATATTGAATATTTATACTAATTAAAATTATGATTGTTTGATAATTCGATCTATTGTAATTCATGAAGAATGATAAAAATTTAGACAATTATAATTTATAAAATGTGATCCTAATTTCGTTCAAATATCAATTCATTCAATGCTAGGAAGTAATTCTTTGAAATTGTTTGCAATTACATATAAGTTTTTAAGATTATTTTGACAATCATTTTAATATAAATTAAATAGCATTTTATATTAAAATTGAAACACAGGTATTAAATTTCATTTAATCTATATTAATTGTGAGTACAATAATTTTTTAAATCCTCTTTGTTTAATTAAAGTAGATGGAAACAATGTTGCAATCAATTTCAACTGATTTATTCTTCTATATTATTTATTAATCCAAAAACCAGATACAAAAGAAGTAAAGATGAGAAATCTAAATAATATGAAAATTTTACGCAATAGATGAAGTAATTAAATAAATTAAAATTTAGTTTGATAATTTATTACTTAATATTTGAGTTTCTGCAAATATATCTAAAAAGCAATAATAAATGCAAAGTTCAAGCTCAATAAAGTATTGCATAAATAACTGAAAATGAATTGGTAAGTTTAGAAAATAATCTGAATGGCTCAAATCAAATTCATAACGTAAATTTACATATTCATAGCTAAATTCCTATTTAGATAATTAATTTAAATCCTAAACAATTCCATAAATTCCTTTATCAATCAAATTGATATAATTTTCTCTTTCATAATAATTATGTTGTATATTTTCTATTTTACAAAAAGTCAATAAATCAGAATAATAAATACAAAGATCATCATTAAAAATATCAATTAATCGTTTATGAAATGTTTAATTATAAGAGGCTGTCATAATTAATTCATTATTAATTTAATTTGAAAGATTCAGCAAAACATCAATATTATTGAAAAAGAACTTAATATGATCTGTTTAATTAATATTCTCAATAGAAGTATTGTTTTCAATTAAATGTTCAGTCTTTATGAGTTCACCTACAATAAAGGCAGAATCAAGTCTAGTTTTTAATTCTAGAAATTTCATAGTAAGCATTAGACTATTTTAATATTAGTCATTATATAATTTAGAAACCAATTATGATCCAAATATGAATGATATTAGTTCAACACCAACAATTAAGGATATAATTATTAATAAAGTATATTTCTCACTATAATTTTCTAATTTATTTGAAGGATTTTATTTAGGTTAATTTACAATTACTTTTTCACTTTATTTTTAAGTGAAAACTTCATCTTTTTATTATGTTTGAATTAATAAAAATTTAGATAATTATTCTTTCTAAAATTATAAAATTTCTAATTGATCTTAAATAATATTACTATTTAAATATTATAACAAACGAATAAGTTTTGTTTAAGTTCTTAACAATTTGCAATTGATTAAAAAAAATATAATCAATAAGAATAATATTACTATTGAAGAATAAACACAAAATATGAATGTTCTATCCTCAAATTAAGAAAAAGATTCTTCAGTAGCTAGAATCAAATCATCTAATATCATATTGTGGAATTTATATATTTTTAACATATTTTAACGAATTAATCCATTTGTTTTAAGTATATCTGGGTCAAAAGTTGTAATATTCTTAAAATCTGTTTTTCTAAATTATCTAATTAATGCTTCTCTCATTATTGTATAAAATTCATAATAATCCAAATAATCTTAACACTTTTTATCACTCTAATAACTAATTAAATCAATCTTATCAAGACCTAATTCTATACTTTTTTTGCTGAGATTCATTGAATATTCTTCATGAACACCTCTCCAATAATCAAAAACACCTATTAATGCATTTTATCTTCTATATTCTAAATATGGACTTATATTATAAAGATTGTTTTAAATACAATATTAATTCCACATTAGAATAAACGATCCTCCAATATTAAATGTCATAGCTTAGGGAATATTTAAAAAATTGACATCATTTTGATAGTTTATCATATTCTAATAATTTAATTGATAACTCACTATTAAGACAATTGTAGTGACTAAAATCATTAAAAAGATAATCCAAATATTATATTTTAATGGAGTGTATAAATTTTTACTTTTTATTAGATTAGAGATAAATTCATAATCAGATTGTAATCCTTCAAATTATTATTAATTTATAATTAATGATTAATTTTAAATATCTTCTATTTAAGGAATTTAATTAATTTTTTCTTATTAAAATTCATCTATTTATTTAAATTTTAAAACAAAATAATTTGTTTCTGATTCTATATATTTTTATTATACAAATTCTAAAGACCCTTCAAAATCTATATTTGTTATTCTTTAAGGAGGAACAACAAGTGCTTATATTTAATTTATTATTTATTTTTTCATAATCTTAATTTTCACATTTTTTATAATTGGTATTTCATCTTATAATTTATTTTACATCAATCTTTTTGTAGATGATGAATAATACATTTTCTTAAATTATGGTGATATAGTTCCTTAATCACTAACAAGTCCTAATGTTTAAGTTTAATCAAGACATTTTTTATGATTTACAGGAAATTACCATCTAGAAGAAATATTAATTGCTTATTAATATGTTCCTAAAGAATATTGAGCTGCCAAATCTTATATATGAGAATATATTTCTGGAAGGTAATATTAAATCATACCAGATTGTATAAATTCTTATACTACTAAATTTTTAGTAAAAGAATTATCAGATTTAGTAATTAAAAATTCATAAATCTATTAAGAAATACCTAATACTTTTCCTTCTGAATCAAATATGGCAAAATGATTAGGTTAGTTTTTGAGGACTAATAAATTCTACAAAATTATATCATCCTTACTTATTGTCACATAAATGTATAAATTACATTCTACCAAATATTCATTTTTATAAATATATAGAGTCAAAGGCTAATTTATATCTAAACCCTAATATAAATATGATCTAATAAAATCATTATACACAGTCTTTTAAAATTAAGGTAATAAATCAATTAATTACTTTGGTTCCATTTAACCACCTAACATTTAAAGTAATCTTATATTATTTTTATTTATTATGTTGTTTTAATCTTTGATAAAGCTTGATGATAATAAGAAAGCTTCATCTATTATTATTTTAAATATATTTACTCTTCTAAAACTTTAAATTCATCATCTTATCGTATGCTAATAAATCGTTTTATTTATTCTAGAGTTATCTAACCTATCATTAAATTTTGAAAAATTACTTTATAATAATTATTGTAAAATACAAAAAGAAATGAAGACACTATATTTATAGAAATTTAATCTGAATTCTAATATTCTAATAATCTTCCATGTTGCAAATCGTATTATTTTTCAAATTTATTTTTATATTTTTCAAGTGTATCCAAAATTTTATTAAGTTATATTCCAAATTATTAAAGATATAAATCTAAAGGTTGTTCTTTTGCTAATTAATTATAAAATTAGCTTTTTAAATTGATAAAATTAACCAAAAGTTAAAAATTTTATTACTCCAATATGAGTGTTTTTATGTATAAATTTATATTAAGAGGGGATGTAATAAATTTTTCACAAGATTAAATAACATTTAATAAATTAGCTTCTAAATTCATTTATTACAAATAACTTAAATTTGTCTTTTCTATATTTATTAAATTTAGATAGAGTTGAATTTTCTTATATTTAAAAACTTATTATAATACAGTTAATCTATCAGAAATATTTCCATCTTCTAGAATATGTTTTTAAAATTTTAAAACACTTTATTCTTATAATGTTGTAAAAAATTGTGAGTATGACATAAAGTTATTCATCAATTCAGGGTTTTTAAAAATACTATATTTGAATAAATTTGATTTAGGATTTTTCTAAAATAATTCTTCACTTAACTTTTTTTTGCGAATTGAAATTTAGATGCAAATAAATAAGATGTATATAAAAACTACATCTTACCAATGTTAATTTGTTAAAAGTATAATTATATAAGATATTATGAAATTACAAATTTATAAATAGTACCAACTGTTGTATTGATAATTATTAATCCTTTATGAAATCATAGCAAATCTTGAAAAAAGCAAAAGAGTAGGGGCTACTTAATATTAAAAATTATTTTGCACAACAAAGCAAATTATAAACTACATAAGTAAATAAAATAAATTAGGCAATCTTTATGAGTAACAACCTTCAATTTCAATTAAATTATTTTTAGTATTACACAAACAATATATTAATTCTAAAAATAAGCTTAATATTATTCCAAATATTGACAATTCTAAGTATTTTAAGGAAATGGCAAAATTAAATGAAATATTTAAAGTTGGAAGAAAAATTATCAAATGAAATATATTTTGAAAATATTTGTAAAATTAACCTACCAAAACAAATTTCTCTTTCTTATCAAAATAAACAATTATCACTGCCATAAAATATATTGCTTCAGTTGATAACAATATTGATAAAATTAGTTGATCTCTATCATATTTAATTAAATTAATAGTGAATTTTTACAAAAAAAACAAAAACGAACTCTGAATTTATGTGGAAGAGTAATTTTGAATATCGCTTGATGTTATTAATTATATTTCCTATAAGGCTGATATTAGGAGAAGGATTTTCGAAAATATAAGATTAAATTATGTTGGCTCAATTTTATTTCTGAATATTATTTATTAGATCCGTACTAAACTATTGAATACTAATTCTCCTAATTTATCATTTATTTCCTTCTTTTATAATGATCTTCTCATAAATAAGTCAATAAAAATAATTATATTAAAGCATATTTTAATAATTTAAGTTAGGAGACATAAATTATATCTATTATTAATATAATTACAAAATATATCTAAAAAGATAAAGTAAGAAATACCGAATATAATTTGAATTATTATAATAATATCATTCAAACATATCGTTTTTCTAGAAATTTTATATTATACTATCTTATTAATTTTCTTCATCAGAACATCTTTCAGATATGTAGCCTCCTGCTTTTTTGCCTTATTTTTCGCTTTATGATAAATAAATAGTTCCTAAACTTTTATCAGATTTAATTGGAGGAAAATCGATTTTTTAGGTTTCATATACAACTTTCATAGGAAATCCATTACACATTTCTTTAGGATCAATATAAAAATTCAAATTTGATAACTAACTTTTATCTTCATTATTTTATTATTATTATTATTATTATTATGATTAATTTTGATAACCAGTTTTCTTTTGTTTATGAATAGATGCAGATTCTCCTTCCACAACAAACTTATTCCTTCTGAATGAATTATTTTAAACAAATGGAAATACCCTTTTTCTTATTTAACTCTTTTTTCTTCCTTTGTATCTTTCAATAATTGTTTTATTTGTAATATATGCATTTTCATTAATTTCTAATTATTTTAAGTTTTTTTCTTTTAACATTTCTTTAATTCTTTTTTTTATTTTTCTTCTCTCGATAACTCTAAATATAGTTCATAAATACCCTCTTAAAATATCAGTAATGGAATTAATAGCAAAAATATCCACTACAAATTATTGAGCCTTTTTTCCAATTAAATCTGGATATCTGGATTCCCATGATTTTCTAATTTAACGTAAAATAATTTTATCTTCAATTTATTCAATACCCAATAGATCATTTTTCTTTTTTATTGCATTATAGGCTAATTAAATGCAAATGTCTTTAAAATGAACCATTTAATTTTGATATATTTAAATTTAATAATCACTTAATTTTTGAAAGATTTCTGTTTTAAATAATCTCATTTTTTTTTTGTGATTATAAATATGAGATTTCTATTTCTAATTTTCTAAATATAATATAATTTATATTACTGGCAGCAAAATCATAATATTATGAATTTTCATCTTTAAAACCTAAAGGAGGATTAATTTCAAACATTAAAAATGCAAAATCTTCTGGTGTAATCCAACCTGTACCTTAAGGATCATAATCAGACCATTTAAGTAAAAAATCTTCTAATTAATAAGGATTAATAGCTGCTGTATTTTCTAATTGACACTCTTAATAAGATTCAATTATCATAGCTAAAAACAATGATGTCATTATTATTCTTATTAAAACTAGAAAACTAATAAAGAAAAAGTAACCAAAATATGTACTACAACCTCTAGCTCCTTCTAACTAAAAGTCTTCAGGAGTTTAAGTATGACATCCTTGAGAATCAATAGTATAATCTGCCATGTACAATGACCAATATTAACCAGTTGATATATCAATTAAGATTAAAATTCCATCTAAAAAATTTGAAAAGGATTTCGTCCTTTAATTTTCCTCCATTGTATAAGGATATTGAGGATCAGATGAAGTGCTCCAAATAGTAGAAAATGCTTAAACACCTATAAGTGAGTAAATGATTATAGTAATTGCTATAAATACAATAACACTAAATAAAGTTGGTATCAAATCCTATATTACATCAATTAGAACTCTCAATTATTTATTATATTTAAATATTCTATTTACTCGTATAATTCTAAGTGATCTTAAAATCAAAGGAATTGTATAAAGTCTAGGTAAATCAAAGTTATTTTTCAGAATCAATAAAATATCAGTAATTATCAAGATTATTAAATCAATCTTATTTAGTATATCTCGAAAGAAATGTACCCAATATGCTAATAATTTAATTACTAATTCTATGTGAAAAATCACAATAAAGAAAATATTCATTCCGTATAATGCTTCTTAAGTAGTCGAATCTTGCTTTCCACTATAAGATGAGCAACTAGATAATGATGAATTATTACAAAATTAGATTCACTAAAAGAAATATTAAGATGATCGACTCAAAATAATGATTATTAGCCAAATGATAACAAAATAGCCTATATTTATTTTATGGCTTAGGTATTAGATTAATTAATTTCTTCTTTTACATTATTTACATCATTTGTATCCATTAGCGTTGGTATTCATTCAACTATGAAAAATTCGCTATGTTTTCTTTAATAGTTCTGTAATTATTAATAATCAAACCAGTGATTAGATTAAGCAATACAATATTGAGTGAGAAGATCAATACATAAAAGAATAACTAATATTAAGATGATGAATTAATTTTAGGATTGAGTCCTCTGTCAGTGATGTCAGAAACACTAAACATTTGTTAAGTCCACCCTTCTCCAATAATTAATCTAAAGAGACAAAGCAAAGAATCTTAAATTGTATCATAATTGGTGATATTATTAATCCATTAGCCACCTTTAGCTAAGCAATCCTCTAGGGTAATGATGTTTTCAAAATCCTTAAGTGATACTTGAGAACAAAAGTAAAGTTTGCCCTTCCATATTGTCATACAAATTATACTTAAAATCCATAGACTTATTCCAGTAACAAAAATCATTGATGAAAGCAATGAAATAGTTTATAATAAAGATCTGGAAATTAAATTAAGTTATTCATTTTATGAACCTCTCTATATATATCAAAATAAATTACTCGAAGTGTTGTCAAAATCCTTAGAGTCCTTAGAGCTCTAAATGCTTTTAGATATTAATTCTTATATATATTTAGATCATCAATAGAACTAATAATAAGAATTACAAAATCTAATTGATTGTTATTGTTCAATATATAAGATTTTTGAGGTTCTAATTTATTCCAATAGAATCCTTGAGCTAATATTTTTATAAGGGCATCTAAAATAAAGATACCAGTAAATATGTAATTAAATACATCTATTGTTAAATTATGTTATCTGAGAGGTCTATCATATTCTAATAGAATTAAATTTAACAAAATTATAAAACTCATACTCCAATCATAATACTTTTATTGTATAAGATAATGTAATCTTTTTCTTGTATTAGATTTATTATGTAGAATAAAAATTGAGGAGTTAATAAAGTATTATTTCAAATTCTTAGTTGAAAATGTATAAGACTATACTTAAGAATCTTCATCAATTTTTAAAATTTAAACTGAATAAAATTTAGATTGTGATCTTTTTAATAAAGAATGTGATTTAGATTGATTTTCTTCTTTTTCACTATCATCAGATACTTTAGACAATCTTCCAAAAAAACGTTTCCTTTCAGTTAATGGAGTAGTAACTTATAATAATGAAGTTTCTTTAGTAGGTACTATTCTAGATTTATTCTACATTGTTGAAATAACTTTTGCTGCTCTGGCTTTTGAAAGATCAGCTTCATTTTTTGCATCTTCATAATTATCAAGCATTAAAGTCAAAAATGAAGGAAGGATAAAAAATTTACATATAAATTAAACAAAAATAAAAAAGACATATGGAATCCAAGATTTTGTTACCAAAGTTGTATAATATATAGTTTACCATTAATCTGAACATATTATTATAAATAATGATGTGATTGTTTCTCTCATACTATCAAAATTAGCTCTTGGTACATATGAACCATTCAAATCATAATATCCTTAATCATTAAATCTTAATTATCCCGCAAAAAAGCTTCTACTCATTAAACCTATAACTAATCCATAAACAAATAATATTAAAATCATTATTGGTATATTATTAAAGGATTTCCAAAGTGCTGATAATAAAACTCTATAATTTGACCAACTAGTTTATTAATTAAAAACCCATAATAATCTTATTCCTTTAATTGTATTTAAAATGAATGGATGTCCTAATTAATTTAATTAAACTACTAAACATATAAAATCACATAAAAATTCCATTACAAGTATTACTTTGCTTTCCTTCTATTTCCATATATAAATTCTTGCTATGTCTTCGATTAAATAAATTACCAGAAAAAAGACATTTACCTTAGCTAATGTTCCTTCTAAACCATTATTATATGCAGATTCATCATTTAGAGATAAAACAACAAGATTAGCTAAAAATAATATGCTATAAAAATATCTAGTAATTTTGGATCCCAAAATAGATTTTATAAATATTCTGATTTTTCTTTATTCACTACTTCTTTTAGTTGAATTCATAATCATAGTCATAACTCTATGTTTACTTTGACTAAGATAATTTGGACTTTAAAAAACAGTTCTTCTTTTATCATTTGATAGAGAGATTTTAGTATGACTGTTAAAATATAAAACTGGTTGAATTGGGTCATCTAAATGCATATCTTATTGAGATTATTTAAGTAGGATTGCAACAATCAAATTTTATAAAAAAAATGAACTTATAAAAATATAAGTCCATAAATAACCTGTACTCAAATATTTATTAAATGAATCAGCTAAATTTTATTCTATTTCTACCCATCCTTCAATATAATGTACTATAAATAAAGTAGCCATTGATTATTAAAGATAATCAAATTTAGTAAAATTATGTGAATATTAAATATATGGCTATTCATAATAACCTTATTAACATTCATAACCAGCAGCACAACTTCTTCCATATCCACATAATCGAGCAGGATATGAATCTACTTCATTATTTTAATTTATGCAATAATTTCCTAAAATTCCAGTCCATATTTGCAATCCAACTATTGAAAATACATAAAAGAAGAAACAAATTATTATGGTTATATAAAAAATTGAAATAAATGAGTGTTCCACTGTTAAACAAAATTTTCTGACTATTCTTAATATTTTATATTGAACAAAATACTCTAATAAAAAAAATATTCTTAAAGAGTAAAAATATGATTGTCTTAAAGTTAATGCAAAAAATAAGGCTATTCCATTTATAAATGCTATTGGATTTCTATAGTACCCATATTTACAACTCCATAATCTTAAATATAATCTTTATTTATACCCATACGATATTATTGATATAACTTAATGAACAGAAAATATTATATCTGCTGTAATTATTATATTTGATATTTAATCATCACTTAAGCTAATTCCTAATCCACTCTCTTCATTATTATAAGGTTTAATTATCAATATTATTATACAAAATGATGTCTAATTAGTTTGTAAATTATACAAATATGTATACAGCATATTAAAAAACACGAGATTCATTTATTAAAATGCAATATTGTCTAAATTTGTTATTCAATCCAAAATAATCCAATGAAAATGAACAATAATAAAGATTCTCATTTTTTAAAAACTGTTCATCAACATTTTCTAAAAAGTTTAAACGTATGTTTGCTTAAGATGGATTTGGTGAAAACATTCCTTATTCTTAGCTTAATCTATTTATATCATTTGTTGCTTACAATTCTTTATGACTTACTAATTCTAAATAATTTTACTTGTTATAATAATGTTTCTAAAAGTAAAATGGTAAAATATCTTAGACAGAAGATAAAATATCCTTTCCATAATCTCTTTCCATACTAAACTTTGGTTACTTTTTAAAACAATTTAATAAAGACTAAAGCATATAAAAATATATAAATTTAGTATAATTCTCAAGGCTATTCATCAAATCCATCTCTTTCTTAATGTATTTTAAATTGGATTATTTGATTGAAAAGATCCTCCAAACTTAGATATTCTTTTTTCATCTAAAGTTTTTTAATTTTCAGATAAATGTCCTGGAATCCAGATTTCTTTTACTTCTAAACAAGATTTAGAAATGTCTGGATGCAACATTTTTCTTATTACTGATTTACTCGGTGTTTTTAATGTTTAGGTTTTCTATATTATTTATGGTTCATTAAAAATATCATCTTCGCTGTCTCTTTATGATTTTTAATATATATCATCAGCACTTATCTTTCTTTAATGTTATATAGCTTATTAGTATTTAATCCTTCTTTTTCCAACAGCATTTACTTCTACTGTTTTAATAGGAACATTTTTATTTAATGTAAATCCAACATGAGCTATGCTGCTTCTTCTTTTTAGACTATGTTACATCGATTCTAATTTCTATTCATCTTATGCATATGTTAATTTTTATTGACTATGAGATGCTATACCATTCTTGCCTCTAATTTACATTAATTCGAGAGTTGTTTTTTTTTAACTCTAATGATTATTGTTTTTCAAAAGATCTAAAATTGATGAACTTTTACTATTAACTTTGTGATAATTTTCAATTGAATCGAAAGGTTTTGAAGAACTTAAATATGTTAAAAATATTCTTACTTAGAAATTTTGATATTGTACATAGCATATTAAACAAAATTTTTGAGTAATGTATTCGTAAAAGGGTATTTTGTATCTATTTCAAACATACAAGCTAAAGCTTTTGGATACTCAATAATTGATGGTCCTTCATCACTTTCTGCAAGACAAATAAATTTTTTTTCTGAATTATTGAATTAGAAATTGTGAACATCCCATCTATTCAATAATGGTGCCAAAAATCGAGATTCTATATCTTTAAAAGCCTTTTTTGAATTTATTTATATTATACCCAATGCTACAAATAAACATTTCTTATAGAAACCACTGTTTCGGTGTTTTTATTTTTACTTATAAATGACCCCATTTATTTTGGTTTATAAATGGGAGCTTTTACAACATATTTTCCTATAGATTAAAATTCTTATGCTGCACTTCTTAAATGAATACCCACATTTAATTTTGGAATCCATTCAGAGGTTTCATAATTAAAAACATATAAATCCCCTGAAGTATTTTCTAAAAACATATCGCTTTGCTGAATTTAGATTTTTAATTCTCTTAAATCTGATAATTTTCCCCCATTTTGATTGATTAGGTTTATTGGCTTTTATAATAACATATGATTACTCTTTCAATATTTGATGCTGATAAATATACTAAAGCTTACATTGCAAATCCTGAAGCAAACAATAACTTTTATACTCTTAGGCACATCCTCAATAAAACTAATATTTTTGCTAACTGTAATCCTAAAATAAATACCCATATGACCAGCCCAAGGTCTTGTATGACAATCACCAATAATAAATATCACATCAAGTTAATCAAATTTAAGAGCTGCTTCCTTTTTCACATAAGAACTCTCTACTTCATATAGAAAATCTTCAATTGTATCTCTATTTCTAACATAAAACTCATTTTCTGTATCTATAAGCTCTTTCTATTCTGCTAAATACTATTTAAGTTTGTTATTATACTTTCATGACATGAAATTGGAAATGTTAAAATTTTTCAAGGTCTTTGTTATCATAGCAATTAATTATTAAAATTCGCATTATAAAAAAATAATAAGTATAATAATTTGAGTGATGAAGGTTGATTTTGTAGTAGATTTTGTTTCATTTAAATAAAAAAATTGGAATAAATAATGGGATAATTTTAGGGATTAATTTGAAAACTATAAATAAGTATTCTTTTAAGTAATAAAGTAATTATAAAACTATCAAATATAATGAAAAAACAATTTAAATATTCATTATTTTTCATGTATACCAAGGATGCCTTTGACAGTGATTTTCTTTTTATTTATAGTTTAAAGTCCAATTCTCATTTCACCCGGTTTAGAGATACCGACGACAAATTTATGAGTTTCAATTTTATTTAAAAAGTAATCATCATCTAATTAGCTCTTGCTTTAATCCTATAAATCTGTATCCATAATGACACATTCATCAGGAGTGGAGTTTGGGGAATTTTTGATTAAGTAATCTATATTCATAAAAAATTATTAATTGCTGAACTTTTATTTAATTTATTAAGTGATTTATGAAATGAATTTATAGAATTCTGTTAATTTATATGATAAAAAAAGAATAAATAATTGAGTATCAAAAGTATTATGAAATAATCAAAATTTCTTTTTTTATTTAAAAGATTATTTTTCAGGAGATATGAAGGCTCGTTCATATAATGGTTCTGATTATTAGTCTTTTTACCATCTGTATATAGGGATATCTTCTTTTTTACTATTGCCATCATCTGAACATTTAGTATTTTGATGAATGTTTTCTTATTGAGGGATTTCATTAGATAAAACTTATTGTGCAACATCCTCTTGAAGAAATTCATTACAGTCTTAATCAAAACTAAAGATTTAATTTAAAGAATTACTATTGATTATTCATAGTTTTTTGATCGAAAGAAGAATCTTGTTCATTTAAGTCTTCTTCAGTAAATTAATTTTATTTAATCGCTAATTTTTTAATTAATTTTTTAGAGAAAGCTTCCCATGCTTTATACATGATTAGAACAGTGAGATAATCATGTAAAATATTGAAATTAGCTTTTAAGTGTAGAATGGGACTAATATTACTTCTCTATAGAAATCTATTTCTTCTATAATACATTAATCTGAGTTGCATTTCTTTATTAAATTATTTGATTTTCTTGATAGAAGAAATGGTTCCATTTTTGAATACTTCAACATGATAGCAAACTCGAAACAATTCATACATGAGTTAATTAAATTAGATATATCCGAAATGATCACTATAAAATAATAAATATATCAGATTACCATTATAATTTAAATGATGATGCTAATTTACCAACATCCCATAGATTTTCATCTTTTCCTCCACCTAAAGGTTTACCTATATCCATAAGAAAACGACATAAAAATTTATAATGCATGGCTTAACCTTATGTTTCGGAAGAATATTTGCACCATATAGTTTTAATTTTATCCATATTCTCAACATATGTTTGAATCATGGAATTTTATAGCATAAAGAATTATTCAAATTATTCAACTAAACCCAAAACAAATAAATTTAATAAAACATAGTTGGAAAGTAACATAAAGAGAAAGAAATATATTTAATTGTAAATACTTCCACAATAGATTTCATTTTCATCACAATATGGATTATAAAAAATTGTATCAGTCATTATAGTTCTCCAATCATCTCCTGATGCACATTTAAAAAGTGAAAGCATTGCTTAAGCNGTAATCTATATTCATAAAAAATTATTAATTGCTGAACTTTTATTTAATTTATTAAGTGATTTATGAAATGAATTTATAGAATTCTGTTAATTTATATGATAAAAAAAGAATAAATAATTGAGTATCAAAAGTATTATGAAATAATCAAAATTTCTTTTTTTATTTAAAAGATTATTTTTCAGGAGATATGAAGGCTCGTTCATATAATGGTTCTGATTATTAGTCTTTTTACCATCTGTATATAGGGATATCTTCTTTTTTACTATTGCCATCATCTGAACATTTAGTATTTTGATGAATGTTTTCTTATTGAGGGATTTCATTAGATAAAACTTATTGTGCAACATCCTCTTGAAGAAATTCATTACAGTCTTAATCAAAACTAAAGATTTAATTTAAAGAATTACTATTGATTATTCATAGTTTTTTGATCGAAAGAAGAATCTTGTTCATTTAAGTCTTCTTCAGTAAATTAATTTTATTTAATCGCTAATTTTTTAATTAATTTTTTAGAGAAAGCTTCCCATGCTTTATACATGATTAGAACAGTGAGATAATCATGTAAAATATTGAAATTAGCTTTTAAGTGTAGAATGGGACTAATATTACTTCTCTATAGAAATCTATTTCTTCTATAATACATTAATCTGAGTTGCATTTCTTTATTAAATTATTTGATTTTCTTGATAGAAGAAATGGTTCCATTTTTGAATACTTCAACATGATAGCAAACTCGAAACAATTCATACATGAGTTAATTAAATTAGATATATCCGAAATGATCACTATAAAATAATAAATATATCAGATTACCATTATAATTTAAATGATGATGCTAATTTACCAACATCCCATAGATTTTCATCTTTTCCTCCACCTAAAGGTTTACCTATATCCATAAGAAAACGACATAAAAATTTATAATGCATGGCTTAACCTTATGTTTCGGAAGAATATTTGCACCATATAGTTTTAATTTTATCCATATTCTCAACATATGTTTGAATCATGGAATTTTATAGCATAAAGAATTATTCAAATTATTCAACTAAACCCAAAACAAATAAATTTAATAAAACATAGTTGGAAAGTAACATAAAGAGAAAGAAATATATTTAATTGTAAATACTTCCACAATAGATTTCATTTTCATCACAATATGGATTATAAAAAATTGTATCAGTCATTATAGTTCTCCAATCATCTCCTGATGCACATTTAAAAAGTGAAAGCATTGCTTAAGCAACATTTTTAAAATTAATTTAATCATCCATTACTTATCCTTTTTCTAATTAACCATATAAATGACAACCTAGTAGTGCAAATATGTACATTGTTATTATTAATAGAGAAAATATCTTTCCTAAAAAAGGTAATGCAAATACCATAACTCTCATTAATCTTTATAGATTTATCAAACCTTAAAATATTAGAATTATTCTTAAACATCTTAATGCAAAGAATAATCTAAGAAATTGATATCCTGAATCTGCTGGAGATGATCTAAAATAAACTAAAGCCCAATCTGATTCATAATCAGCTATTATATCTATTATAGCAATTGTAATTAAGAAAAAATAAAATCTTCTCCAATGATTATCAAAAAATCTATTTACTCCTAAAGCCAAAAATAAAAAGATATTCCATAAAATATAAATGTAAGTTAAACTATTATGAGTCTCATTTAAAGCTCTAAAAAAGTCATCTTCCATTTCAGTAAAGAATAACAATAATACTAACAAATCAAAAAGTAATAAACAAAACATTAGTTTTTAAACTGTATTATTATTTGTTAAATTAGATGAGAATCTTCTTATTGTTGATGTAGGAGGTGAAGAGTATAAAGGAAAATCTTTGATAATTATCTAAGAAATTTCCATGAATTCAACTTATGCTTTTGTTATATCAGACATTTCTATTTTGCTTTAATTAGCTTTCAAGTTTGAATATAGAACTCCTGTAAATAGACTTAAAAAAAACATTGAACCAATAAAACAGAAAGATATAAAAAAAAAATATGTATGAATGTAACTATTAAAGGGTTCAGGACCAATATTAGGATTTTAACTATTTTCTGATATTTACATTATTTCACCCCATCCATCAAAAGTTGATACAACAAATAATGTTGGAATAGCTATTGTAATGTTATCAAAATTATGTTTATAATTTATCCAAGTTCTATTCATTTCTAAACACTCTTTTTTATTGATATAGAATTCCATCTTTTCTTCACAAAATCCAAATTATTATTCATATAATATAATTCCATAAACTCCAAAGATTATCCAAACTGAAAGCATTGTTATTAATACATTCCAGATATCTGCTAAAGATCTACCTAATGCTAATCTCAATGTATCTAACCATGAAATTCTATACATCAATTTCATCACTCTTAAGTATCCAAAATATAAAAAGAAATTTACTATAGCTCTCTACTCTTGGTCTTATTCAAAATGCAAAAAAAATGCAATTATATATATCACATCCACTATTTGCCATGTATATGTTATATGAGCTCCTTTATTCATCCACATCCCCTTTGCTATACTACCCATTATTATTTCAAATAAAAACAAAATATTTGCTATCAATTACAATACTTCAGGATAAAAAGATGAATCAATCTCATAATCATTATAAGTTTTCAATGCAAATACTATTATTGAAAAATATAACACCATATCCATAAAATAATTAAACAATTTTGAAGTTATTATTCTGCAACATAATATTCTTAAAATATTTTCTTTGTTAAATAAATACAAAGATTATTAGCATTGGATTCCATCATACAGATTAGGGTATTAACTTAAAATGTCTTTATGAACTTGCCCTAATATGTGATATATAGATATTACTGATTGACTTCATAAGATTTGATATTAAATGCTACTTCGATTTCTTCTATTAATGTTCATTAAAATTTATTTATGACATCAAAGGTTTCAAATTTAATTGAAATTCATGCATTTCTTATTATTCAGTTATTTATGAATTTTATTCTTCTTATTTCTCATTATTCTTCTCCTCCTCTTGTTCTTTTTCTTCCTCCAACTCTTCCATTTCCTTATTTATTGCTCCAAAACCATCTAATAATATTGCCAACACCAAACCATATGTTATATAATTTAAAAAAATAACCATAGAATATGAATATATTACAGCAAATATATAATTGATATCTCCTCCCAACACATATACTCCATACCAATCATCATTTGTTAGAATGTTAAATATTGTCATAAAAGCTTTAAAAATATTATCATATGAATGTAATTATCCTAAAGCTTCTGTTTAATCAAAATAACCAGCATACATTTCCATTCCAATCATTGCATATACAAATATCACTAAAAAAAATAAAAATGTTAAATATATGTATTATTTAAATGTTTTCTAAGCTATATGTCCTATTGCTACTGCCATCTTATTATATTTTAATACTCGATAAAATAACAAACATTTAGTTCCTCTTATTAATCTTAGATTTTATTCATTTAAATTTGTCATCACTGAACTCATTGTTAGTTCAATGAAATTCAATACTACAATACACGATTAAAGAACATAATCAGGACTTTAGGATATGTCTTTAAATGAAAAAGCAAAAAACCTTACAACTAATTCTATACATAAAAATATCGTTGAAACATCTTCTTCATTTGAGATTGTTACTGAATTCGCTATTCCTTACAATGATAGAAATGTAAAATTTATTAAAATCACCATGTCAAAAAATAATTAGCTTATTTAAGATGTTATAAAGAGATATGAATATTTTCGTAATGTTTCTATTTTACCTTTAAATCCTAACATCCATATTTAAATATCTATAAAATTCAATTTTTTCAATGCGTCTTTGAAATTTAATAATCTCATTTCATTTAATTTTAATACATCATTTCCTGACCAAGTTTTTTTTTAAATTTAATTTTATTAAAGATCTTTTCTTCTCAATAATCTATATTAGAATTCATTAGATGGTTGTGAATTTTTATTTTTTTAAATTTTAGCATTTATTTTAGTAGAAACACCTTCATAATTTAAATAATATCCTTAAATATAAACATAATTTTAATCTTATTTTTTAATGGAAAATGGAATTTTTTTGTCTCCTTATGAAGTTTTAAGTTTATGTGATTATGCTAAACTTTACTTTTAATTGAAAAGATTTTAATCTAAAGAATTATTAGTTTCATTTTATTCATCTTCAGTTTAATTTAATATTATTCTTTTAACTTTACGAACAGGAAATGGATTCAGTTTTTTATGATCATGAACAATTTATTAAATTTTTTTTTGTTTTATATCTGGATAGACAACAGGTATTTTAATATTTCTCATATTAATAATTTCTTTTTCTAATTCTTTTTTCTCACAATCAGGAAAACTATTTAATTTATAAAAATAAAAATTACTTTAAAATTGGTAATACATCTCCTTCACTTTCAAAATTTTATTAAATTTATTAATTAACACAAGATTATAATTATGAAAATTAAAAAGATTTTAATCTTTCCAAAATTTATATTTCAATCTCATCCTCTGTATATCTTTTAATATGAACATTTTTTTATTTTTCACTTAATAATAAAAATTTAGGTAATAGAATATTTTTTACAGTAAAATTTTAAATTTTGTAAATGATTCTTTTGAGCAAGCTTCCCTAAAAATAAAATATATTATTATTTAATTACTTATGGATTATGATCATCATTTTTTTTTTATTTTGCTGATAATATTCTAGTTTTATTTGGATTACCTTTTTCATTTATATTATCTTCTAATTTAATAGATCTATAAGAAGATCTTAATGCTAATCTATATCTTTAAATAACAGAAAAAAAGTCAATATATCTTAAGAAAGCAACATCAAAAACATTAATAATATCTCTATCAGGCAATTCTTTATTTTCTTTAATTTTTAATTGAATTTATTTCATTTCTTCTTCTTTTGCATTTTCTTCTGTAGCTTCAGCATAATGTATTTTGATAACAGCAATAACTAAATTAAATCCAAAAAAGCCACAAACAAAAATAATTAATAAATAATAGAACCAAGTCCATGGATGATATATTCTCATCGTAAAAAACATTACCCAACTCCAATCATCCATAGTTATAGTTCTTAATACTTAACCATAAGAATAAATTACATTATTAAATGAAGTTGGAAGTTTAGGAGTAAAAGATGAATACTAACAAGACATTCCTTCTTCAAAACATTAATTTTAATTACATTATATCCAACCATCTGTTTCATCTCCATTATCATATTAACATCTGTAATTAAATAAACCTTAAAACATAAATACTCCAGTAATTGCAAAAAATACTGAAAATAATCCAACTATCATTAATGCTTCCAATAAAAATCTAAATGATTATTTCAAAGCTTTTAACATTACTCCTAAACCTGAAAATATATCTCCTAAATAAAGTAATAATGTTATAACTCTTAAAGGAGATATATCTACTATAAATATATCAGGATAATTTATGTTTAATACATATACCACAACCAAAATACAATCAAAAATATCTTAAAAATTCTTAAAAAATGCTCCTTTTGGAATTATTACTCCAGATGCTATTATTCTTATTCCTAATTCAATCAAAAAACAAATCATAATACTTCTCTCCATATTCTTTGTTTAAAGAGGATCTTATAAAGTTTGTGAATATATATATAATGTTACATTAAAAATAATAAGGAATGACATAATTATTTTAAATAACACACTCTTAATTATTCTTTTACATAAGATTGGAATAAACAAAGAATAATAAACTATTTATTTTCTTAATTTTAGAAATTGTTTATCATCATTATAAGCCTATTATTATAATGTTAATATTTACATTAATTTCATACTGTAATCTTTCAAAACCATGAAGATCCTTCAATTTTACATAATAAGGATCTTCAAATGGATTTCTTTCATATAATTTTTCATATTTTTTTTTAATTTTATCAACATCTTATTAATTATCAGTATAATCATCATCATCACTATCACTTAACTATTACTTTCCTTTAGTATGATTTGATTATAATTTTGATTAAAATGCTCCTTTTTTACTTCTATGAGACATTTTTAATGATCTATGCGAAGACATTCCTTCACTTGCTTAAGAAAGAAGCATTTAATCTCCTCCACATTATTTCTATATATTTATATCTTATTTCATTCCCCATCTATGTTCAAAATCAATAAATTGAATTTTTAATATCGACTTTTCAATTCCATCAGATATATCTAATGGATTTAGAAAATCTTATTCAAATGACATGTTTGGTAAAATTAGCTTATCCTAAACTTAATAAAAGGATGATTATGCTTATTATATTATTCCAATATTATCTTTTAAAATTATTGATTAGTCTATTGATTCTTTATTTGATTCTGAATCACTTGAGAATGATGATGATCCTGGAGATATATCTTTATTCATTGAAATGTTAACTTTTTTTTTACTTTTAATAGATGAAACTGAATGTTTGCTTCCTATCATTCTAATTTTACTCTCTTCTGAAGAGAATAAATTAGAGTTGCTCATTCTTCTATTTGCTATTTCTCTTGAAATTGAAAAACGTTTCTTAGAACTTCTAGCTATTTCAGGTTGCTTTCTATCATTTATTTTATGCATTTCCTATAAATAATATATTAATCATATTTAAAGGTAAGTTTTTTATAAAATAAATTCAAGTTTACAATTTCAAATCTATATTCTAAACAACAATATATATGATCGCTATCTAAATTATTATTAGTTATTATAACATTCTGAAATTTATGTTTATAAGTTAATTTTCAATTGAAATTATAATTTATATCATTTCATTGCTGAACGATTACTTTTATGTATTGTTGTTCGACTCTCTCCTAATAATTCTGATTCAGTTTCATATATGATATCAGTCCTATTCATATTTGTACTCTTTCTGCTTTAACTTACTCTTGAATCTCTGTTCAACTAAAACTTCTCTGATAATGAATATAATCGATCAGCCAAAGATTATATATCACTTTTTAATTTATGTTATTCTGGCTACTAAGATTCTTATTATTAATGACTTTCATTAGATCTACTTCTATGTTCATCTTATTATATTTTTTTTGGTTTTTAATCTATATTATTTTTTATAAATACTACTCTTATCATCTTAAATCTTTTTTACAAAGTTTTTTGCATCCCTTAAATTTGGTTTTTTAAGTAAAGGAGATTTATTTTCATTATTTGAAAGTGTAGATAAACGATTAGAAGTAGCCTTAAAATAACTTTATTATTATTTTTTTGGTTATATTTATTTTCCTTCCTTTTTTGGAGTTTTCTTATAACTTTTAGGTATAGAGTCTTCTCTATTTTTAGCATATTAATTACTCTTCAATTCTACGAAAATCTTAGCTTGCACTACTCCTATCAGATCTTAATGTCTCTGTTGGTTATGTAAATAATGGCATTGCATCTATATTCAATTATTAAAATGAATTTCTTCTTTGTTTTTCTATCTAAATTTTTAATTTTAATATTACTTTAATATCTTATAAACATTATTATATTTAATGTTCTAAATTTTAAAGTTCTTCTAAACTAAATTTTTTAAAATTTGGTTGTCCTTCATAACAAGATAATCTATTAAGGGCATTTTATGATAATTTTTCATATTTTTCATTTTATACTTTTAATTCTTTTATTTATTATTCCATTTCTTTATGAGAATTGAAATAAGTAAGTATTTGCTCATTAGATTTTTAAAGTCTTTTATGAAGTTCTGTACAATTTTTTTCTAAAAGAACATTCTTTTCTATTTCTTATTATAGTTAAGTATTTAATTCTTAAGTTTTTTCCAAAAGTGATACATCAGTTTCATTAAATTAACTAACTGATGGTTTAGAAACTAATTAAAGTTCTGTTTGTTTTATATTTGTTAATATTTCTGAACAATTCAATGATTATAATTGTTATTTTAAAGAATCAATAATTTTTTATTAATCTGAAATAATCTTTTCATTTTATTTATTTTTTTAGATTAACTAGTTTAATTTTTATTGATTATTAGAATAGGAAGCATCAAAATTGACATTCTATTCAACTTTTGATTCAACTAATTTTGCACTTAAACCAAATCTCAAAGTTGATTGAGTTTGATCATATTAACTCAATCCAGGATTAATACTCAATAAAATTAATGTTTTAAAATTTCCTATTAGAGAAGATCTAAATTAAATATATTTAATATACTTTAATAATTTAGTTAATGTAGAATTTCTATATGGAATATGTTAAGGAGGAACTTTTTAAGTTTTTAAGGCAATAACTCTTGTTAAAAAGAATAAACTTTTATTAATAGCAGAACTTTCTTTATTTCTATCTTTTCTATTTGAATTTCTATTATTATCATCAGAAATAGGACTTGATGATATTTTTTCACTTCCTGCCAAATCTATAAAATTAATGCAGGCTTCAGTAGAAAAAGTGAAGTTTTCTTCTTCTTCAGATTCATTAGAATAAGCACTAATAAGAACTTTGAAGATTGTATGACTTCTACTACTTTGATGATTCAATATAGTTTCAGCATAATGTCTATTTTTTTCTCCTTTTGAAATACAAGAGATTACATCTTCAATTGAAGTTACATTAAATTCTTTAATATTTTTGATAACAAATTCCTATAATAACAAATAATATATTTACTTTACGATAATCAGTTCCAAAAATAAGTGGTTCAGATAATTCATTTTCTTCACGTAACAGATCATATATAAATTCATTATATATTTCATAATAACTACATTTGATTTCAAATTGTCTCTTTTCGTCCTAGTTTTATAAAAGTAACTTATACAATATTAATTTATTTAAATAGCTCCATCATTGAATAAATAAGAATTCCAACATCGTTGTATTAATTATTAGCAAAACTATCTTTGATTAATTATTGAATGTTATTATTGTTGTTTTAATAAAGCATCTCCTAATTTCTCTTGCCTAACATTGTAAATGTTTTCCCTGACCCTGTTTATCCATACATAATCACAGTCCCATTAATACCATCTAAAGATTGCATTATTACTTGTTTAACAGATGTTGAAAACAAATAATAATTATCAGCTTACTATCCATAACAATTATTGAATTCGTAAATCAAACTATTGACTACTTTTTTTTAACCAATTAATTCCTTTAAACAAATTTTATTTAGTTAAATTTTTGAGTCATTAGCATCCCAAGCTACTATTTCATTGTCATTTATTTCCTTTTAGTTTAATGGTCTTATTCTTAAACATACACTTATTTTTTCCATACTAACAGATTATTTAAAATATATTATATTTCACAAAGTTATAATTTCAACTCCAATAATATAGAAACCACTTTTTATTGTAAATGTTATTCATAACAAACATACAAATATTTATTTAATAAATTTTATTGTAGTCTATGCTTTCATAAACTATATCAAGAATTCCTCCATAAATCTATGTAACTCCTAAATATAATGAACATTTAACAGCTAATAATACTCAAGACGATATCATTAAAACACATAGAAGAATTTATAGTTATCAATCAAAATCTCAATTATCAATTCATAATTTTTAATTGTGTTAATAAATTGGATAAGGTCAATTTAGTAAAGTTTTTCTAGTCAAGTATCATTTAATTTTATGTAGAAATTCTGAAAGATTTTATGCTTTAAAGTTGTTAGATAAATAATGGATTAAGAAATTTAATCTAAATTTATAAGTCTAAAGAGAAGTTGATATTCAATCTAAACTTAAACATAGAAATATTGTTGAACTCATTAACAATTTCTAAGATAATGATAAAATATATCTAATAACTGAGTACTGTGAAAAAGGTAGCTTGTACTAAAAATAATTCACAAAATCTAAAATTAAAGAGATTATTAAATAGATTCTTACTGCTATTTAATATATCCATTAAATGGGTTTTATTCATAGAGATATCAAGCCTGAAAATATTTATTTAACCTAAGATGATATTGTTAAAATTGGAGATTTTGGTTGCTCTAATTAAAAAAGGAGAAGAAGAAAAACTTTTTGTGGAACTCCTGATTATATGTCTCCAGAAATAATTTTATGTTCAAATAATTCACATTATTGTGCAGGATATGATGAAAAGGTTGATATTTGGGCAATAGGTATATTACTTTTTGAATTATATAATAATACGGTGCCATTTCGAGATAATAATCGAAATAAATAATAAGATAGAATATGTAGGGAATAAATTGTATTCAAAAAGGATGATGATCCCTAGTTTATTGATTTCATACAGAAATGTCTTTAGAAAGATCCAAATTTAAGAGCTAATTTATATTAATTACTTTAGCATCCTTTTTTACAATTTTGATTTTTATTGATAATATTTTATTTAATACATAATGGAGACAAGCACATTTAGATAAAAGGAGTCCAACTCTAAATAAGCTAATTTAGAAAACATTGAAAATCAATATAACAAAGTAATTATTAACTCTATGTTTAGAATCTGATCATGCTTACAACTTAAGTTGAACGACTTACATAAGCTTTGAAGAAGAAAACCAACGATGTTGAATTACTCTAAAATTAAATAGACAAATAGAAATAAACTCAATTTCCATAAGAAATGGAAGAATTGATAACTGTAGAAAAAATATTTAAATTTTAGACAGTTGAAGAATAAACTAAAGAAATTGAAAAATGGGCAGATAAATTTTAAACTTTGTAATAATAGAATTAGTAATTGCAATAAAAGAATTAGGAATTAGAACAACTTGTTTAACTACTTAAAAGTTAATCTCAGCAAGAAATTAAATTAAATGAAAGTTTATTTTATTTAATTTTTATTAGGTCTTTCATCTAAGCGATTTTATTAATCAGAAATAAGTAGAAAAGAAAACAAATATGAAACAAATGAAACAAACATTATTTCTTAATCTAAATTATTGTCTAAATAAGATGAGATCAGTTAATTGAGGTTATAGGTGGAATAATTAAAATAAGAACTTTTAGAAGAAAAGTAAATTCATAGAGAATTACTTGAAGCAGAAGAATCACGTGTAAGAGATTAAGAAAGAAAGAATTTAAACTAATATAAATTGGAAACTAAGGAATAATTGATTTTATATAAGAATTAAATTTAGGCACTTTAAGATATGTTAGATAACAAATCATAAGTGTTAAAGTAAGATAATTTTGAAGAAAAAAATCGAGAACTCAATTTATAAATTTTAGAAAAGAATAAGAAAATAGAATTATTGGGAAGCATTATTTCATAAAAAGATTGTTAAATTAATTAATTATAATAACAATTAGAGAAATATTAAAAAGAATAAGTCTAATTAATAAAATAATAATAATCATAAAAATAACTTACACTTCCTTCATCATCTTCTACATATAGAATTAGCTCAACTTAACATTCTTCTTTTGATAATAATTCTACTTCTTTGATAAATTTTAATAAGACTAATTCCATTTAAGATTAGATCAATCAAACTATGGCTCAAATAAATAGATCAATTCAATAAGTTGACCAAATGAAATAAACTAACAGTGCTAATCAAAAAATATTTTAGGAGTATAATAACAATACTGTTCAGAGTTCTTTGAGAAATTCACAAATACCATAAATTTAATCACATTTAACCGTTCAAGATAAGATTAAAGCTCTAACTTCATTAACTCAATAGTAAACTACTTAAAATTATAAATATATATGAATTTAATATTATTAGATTAAATATTTTAATGAAAACCCAATATTTAAGAAATTCATTTGAAAATAATCAGTAATAGCCTTTCTATTAATATTCTAAAACTTCAAATGTAAATTCAACTTCAAAATAATCGCTTGTTATCAATGAAATTTATTAGAATCAATTAATTTCATTATCAATCTAACAAAAACAAAAAAATGAGCAAAGAAAGGCTTCATATTAAGATGAAGAAGAAAAAAAACAATAAATGGCTTAAGCAATTTAATAGTAAATATAAAATAATTAAAATAATGATGATTCTGTTTAAAAACCTTTTGTAGATTAATATTCATAAATCCTTGATGATTCTGTTTAAAGAGAATAAGACATCAAATTAAATACTTTGATGACCAAATTTTTTGACGTTGAAGTGCCAAATTTGAATAATATGAGTATAGCATTTTTACTTGAAGAATTAAATAAATGAATCATATGAATTATATTTATCAAATGTATAATATTGTTGTTTATTATTAATATATCAATTAAATCTAATTAAAATTTAAATAGAGAAGCTTGATGAAGCTATATAATGTGTTGAATATAATATTCTCAATTATCTTTCTTTAAAATTGTTACTTAAAAGTAAAAAATCATTTTCAATTGGCCACTCCCTAAAGTTCAGCAGATTCTGTTTTTAATAATAACTGAACTCATCTAATAAAAATACATTTATTTTTTACTTTGTATAAGTCAACAGTGGATTGATTTTGAATTATTGTTGCATAGGAAATTTCTTTTAACTTTTTCTCTAAAATATTCTAGTTTCGTAAACATTTGACGTATATATATATGTTGAGGGAGAGTTAAATATTCAATAATTTAATTACATGAATAGCATAAGCTCATGTTTATTACTTTTGAACATTGAAAGTACTTAGGAAAGTGTATGTATTAAAGATGAGCTTAATGATTCTATAGATTTGCGTATAGACACAAAGATTAATGAAATGGAAAGACAAATTGTAAAGTATTTGCAAAGCATGGGAATATAAACAAAAACAGATCCTAAATAGAAAGAATTGTAATATTGGAATTTAAGAAGAATTGAAAGCAACAAGAAATTAGAGGAACATTGGAACTGCCAAAAGCTATCCTTAAATTCTTCTGTTAATAGATTGTTATTAAGAAGAAAATCTCCAGTTATCAAGTGTTTTAATAACAGTGGAACCCATTTATAAGCCTTCCTTACTTCCTGATTTAAGGAATAAAATAAGATGAGTTAATTTAATATTGTTATCTATTATGTTCTATTGATAACTTATTTTAATTTTTTATATCTTAAATATCTAAATATATATGTATTTAATTAATTTAATTGAAAAAGATAGTAAATAAATTGTTTTAATAATTTGTATTACTACAAAATTTTGATATAAAATGTATTAAAATGCAATAAATTTTGGGGTTATTTTATAGTTGAATGTGAAGAAATAAGAATTTAAAATCAATGGGAAAATTGATATTAGATTAAGATCTCTGATAAGTATTATAGTAAAAGAAATAAAGTAGACTTAGGTGATAAAAATGATTGGATATAAATATGATATATAGAATTAAATACAATTCAACGATTAATACAACCCAGGGATATAAGCATCCTTTTAAAGAGATTTTGCTATGGTTATTCAGACACTTGTTAAGGTTGATGGAATACAAAATGTTGGGATCTATATTTCATGTCTTCCCATTCTTTATTAGTAGTTTTACGTTCTGACATTACAGTTTATGAAGATTATAAAGGAGATTGACTTGATTCATCAATTAATAATGAGACACTTCGATAGGTTAAATTTTCATTGAGAGGTGGTTGTTATTTCATTTTGGATTACATCCATCGATGATTTAGAATTGTTTATATAGAAGGTCTATTGAAAGGATTCTACTGAAGAATCATGGCAATAAGAGATTTACAATCTTCTGAAACATACTCATCATATTTAAGTGGACATCCAGAGAGAATAGCATTACATTTCTCTTAATCATTCCTTCCAGTAAAAGGAGGTTTGCCTTGTACCATTTCATAAAGTAAAACACCTAGACACCAAATATCGAGTTTGTAATTGGTGCTTTAGGATTTAATCATTTCAGGTGCCATATATTCGATTGTACCACAAAAAGCTTTTTTGAGATTTCCCATTTCAGTGGACCAACCAAAGTCGCAGATCTTTATATTTCCTTTGTTATCAAGTAAGAGATTTTCAGGCTAGAGAAATAGAACTATAAATAACCTTGATGTCTCTGTGGATAATCTTTTATTTATGAAGATAATCAATTCCAAGACATGTTTAATAAAGATAATTAGAAGCCTCATCTTCAGATAGATGACGTTGTTTCTTGATTTATTTAAACAAAGAACCACCTTCTGCATACTCAAGCACCAAGTATACATTGGTCTAAGAGTATAAGTTCATTTTATACCTTATCTTCAAAGTAACTATCTAATTTAATTATGTTTGGATGGTTTAATTTACGTTAAATTTTGATTTCTCTCTTTAGATTGTCAACTCTGCAATATTTAAATAATTCTGCCTTTTTCATCTAAATGCTATTACAAAAAAAATCAATACAGCTTTCATTGCTAACAATTTTCCCGTTGAAATCTCTTTAACTAAAGTAACCCATCCAAATGAACCTTATCCTAATGTCTATTACATTGCTTAAAAATCACTATCATCTAATAAATATATGTACTTTAAGCATTTCTTACGAATTGTGCTAGACGACGCTTTACTGCTAGATGCTGGTCTATTTGAACTAATTTTTATTATGATAACTTTACCAATTTGTATCGTGTTTGTTAGCTGATATATTCAGTTTTATACTCTTACAATCACAAGTAGTCTCTGAATAAGTTTTATTAGAGTTCATTAATATAAATAAAATATTATCAAAATTGAATTTTAGTCTAAAAACCAAAATAACACAATATGAACTAGGCTACTATCAATTATACAAACAAGAATTCCCACAATTCTTCATCCAAAAAGTCATAAACACTATTAGCCATAAACATTTCTTTTAGATGACAACATACTTATGTTGATTCTAATATAATTCTATGTCCTTAGATAATCTACCATTTTACTGAGTTATAATATTTTATTGGAATAATACTTGCATTAAATTGACTTTTAATAACATCCAATCTGATTGTATATAAATATAACTCATTTTTAACATTCTACTAATTAAGCAAATTAATTCTAAAATATATAATCAACATTACATAAAATGTAGTAAACTTATTTCTATGTGTATAATCCAGACTTGAATTGATAGGAAGCCTTACTTAATGTTTCAAAAATTGATATGTATGTTAAATTACTTATAATTTTTAATATTATTACCTATAATACAAATAACCTTGTAGTATTTAACATATAAAATATTTATAAATTTATTCTATGTAGAGTTTGAGTCCAATATAAAACTGTTTTACTTTAACTTAAAATGTTTATATTATAGAAATCTACTCATTTTAATTCTTACTAGTTTATTATTTAATATAATCATACTATACTTCATTATTTAAGATTCAATTATGTTAAGTATATATTTAACATAAAAATCAAACTCATTATTTTATATGCATCATATATTAAATGAGATAGATGAGAAGATTCTTTTATAAATATTAATAAAAGGCAAATTTCTGCAATGCATATAACTGGAAATAGTTAATTCTCAAATTTGTTGTAAATTATTCCAATTAGACTGAAAATTATAGTTATCAAGTATTCTACGTTAATTGAAATCTTATCATTTGAAGCACTTAATTCATGAATCCAATAATTAAAGATTTTATAATGAAAACAACTAATGCAAAGATTTCTTAATCCATCTAAATAAATTATTTGGAAAAAAAAATGATTTACAAAATCGAACAATAAAATTAACAACGTTGCACATATTTATTCAAAGCTACTAATTAACCTGTTGTATAACATATAAAATATATTAAAAGAAATAATGGATTATTGTAAACAAAGATAGCTATACAGCTATCAAATATATGTATTATATTTCTAAAACCTATTTGATTTTCAATCATTTACACTGATTTTAAATAATAGCTTACGTTAAAGAAATCAGTTTATCTAACCCCATTATTCTAATCCTACTAATTTGTTATATGAATTGAAGCTGTTAATTTATCCTCCAATTCAATTGTTATTTAATTTTCATATAATTCTTTTAATATATAAAATTTAGATTATAATAAAAATATTGTTATTTTAAATTTATATGAATCAAAAATTTTCATATAAGTTGGTTATTATCAGATTTTGATGAAAATAATCTATCAATAATCTTTTTTTAAGGTGTTCTTTCTAAGAAAGGTTTAAATCCTCTTGATTAGGGTGATTAAATTAAAGGTAATTAAGGATTTTATTAATCATTCTATTTAATATTATTAATTTTGAAACCCAATTTTTATTAATTTTATTATTCAAGAGAATCTCTAAGATATTAAGCAGTTCTAGATTATCTTGAAATATCTTCTTCAGATATACTAATAAATTCATTAATAGGATTAATGGTTTATTTTGAAGAATTAGTTCTTAAAGCAGTTTCTTATTATGATGATTAAGGTATCGATCTATATCCTATAAATTAATTTGTGTTAATTTTTTAATTCTAAGGATTAATCCTTGGAAGAAAGGCTTCTGAATTAGTTTAATCCATCTATTCTGAATTGAATTTGGATTATCTACTATCTAATAGAGATTTTTAATAGGAAGGATATTCTGATTTTACATATTCTTCAGTTTGTTTGGTGGTAAAATGTTTATGATTTGGCTATAAATCTGCCATACTAATGTTGAATTCATTAACAGTAGTTTATCGAATCTAAAATTATTTGTCTTTTCCACTTTTTTAAATGTTGGGAGCAGCAGAATTATTTTAAGTAACAACTACATGCTCTATTGAAGATTTTGGTTATGGTGGAGAAAAAGGTTTTACTGATGGAACATTTTATAATTTGGGTGGAGAGCTATTTAGGCAGCACTTCATACCCATATTTGTGCAGAACAGGGGTTATGTATTGATTTTATACAAATTATTATACTGATTTTGCATTTCCCAATTATTTATAGGTTTAAGAATTTCTTTTTTCATAAACTTATTAACTTAACACATTCTTTTTTTCATCAAAGTTTAGTTTTAAAGCTTATTCTTTTGGGCTTTTGATCCCAATTCTTTATAATTACTTTTATTAAAATTTTATAGTTTAGACCAATGAACTCTTTCTTGGGTTAAAGAATTGAGCTGTTTATTTCATCTCTTAATGTTAAAGATTATCATCAAATGAAGATTAATCTTAATGATTAATCATTTTCTTTTAAAATTATTATTATTAAAACAATAACTATTATCAACATTCAAAACTTGAATACTTCAGACAATTTGAATTTTATTCAATATTTTTTTATTTTTTTTTTCTTCAAATTAGTTTAATTTTTATCTATTAAAAATCATAGGATTGAGTACTTAAAAACTATAATTTAAAATTTATATATATAAACCCACACAAACAATTTATAATCATGATCCAACTTTAAATACAATTTATTAAAATTGTAATAACATTTAACTCAAGATTTGTTAAATTTATGGCAAACTCATATCTTTATTTGTTACTTTTATCTATAATTCTGATATTTAAGCAACCAATCCTTTAGTAAATAAATCCATTCCTACCATTGGTTTGATTTAAGCTTATTAATTCTAAGTTAACATTTATAAATCATCTCTTAATTTCATAATATGCTCTTCTATCTTTGATAATCTATCATCATTTGAATATAATTAATTCTATTATTATTATTATTATTATTATAATTCTGCTTATTTCATACCTTTCTTCACATCTTCATATTGTTTTGCCATTTATTCAGTTTATTATATCAATTAATCTAATTTATATATAGCATCTTATCCTGGCCTATTATTTTCAGCCAATTAAGCTATATTTTTACTTAAAGTGTAAAATTGTTGTGTAACACTATCAATAAAACTATTAAAATTTTATAATTTAGTTTGGTCTATGTATTACATATCATTGAAATATTAAATTACTTTTTCAAAGATCAAAACTACTCCCTAAGACATTTTAGCCAATTCAACTTAGTAGAGTTAACCTATTTGATCTTTTAAATAATCATTAGTAGTATTTTAAATTAATTATGTACACTTATATAATAAAATTAATATTTACTTCAGTTTATGTTATTTATTAATTTGCTAACAATTTTAAATGACTTGCTATTCTTTCATCGATTAATTACTCAAAATAAGCTTAATTAAAATTATCCATAAGAAAATTCTCACATGTTTATTAATATAACTCTAAATTTTGTGTAACTACATTTTCCATCTAAGTTTCTAATTAAGATAAGTCCTATTTAAATTATAATTCTAATTTAAGTAATGCTTATTAATCATTCTATCCTTGTTTATCAATTTCCTTTTTTACTTATGTTTCTATTAAATCTTTAATATCAAAAATGAATGTTATATCTTCTATTAAATCTTTTTTGACATCATTGCTTATAATTTAAAATTATTATTGTTATTNTTTAAAATTTATATATATAAACCCACACAAACAATTTATAATCATGATCCAACTTTAAATACAATTTATTAAAATTGTAATAACATTTAACTCAAGATTTGTTAAATTTATGGCAAACTCATATCTTTATTTGTTACTTTTATCTATAATTCTGATATTTAAGCAACCAATCCTTTAGTAAATAAATCCATTCCTACCATTGGTTTGATTTAAGCTTATTAATTCTAAGTTAACATTTATAAATCATCTCTTAATTTCATAATATGCTCTTCTATCTTTGATAATCTATCATCATTTGAATATAATTAATTCTATTATTATTATTATTATTATTATAATTCTGCTTATTTCATACCTTTCTTCACATCTTCATATTGTTTTGCCATTTATTCAGTTTATTATATCAATTAATCTAATTTATATATAGCATCTTATCCTGGCCTATTATTTTCAGCCAATTAAGCTATATTTTTACTTAAAGTGTAAAATTGTTGTGTAACACTATCAATAAAACTATTAAAATTTTATAATTTAGTTTGGTCTATGTATTACATATCATTGAAATATTAAATTACTTTTTCAAAGATCAAAACTACTCCCTAAGACATTTTAGCCAATTCAACTTAGTAGAGTTAACCTATTTGATCTTTTAAATAATCATTAGTAGTATTTTAAATTAATTATGTACACTTATATAATAAAATTAATATTTACTTCAGTTTATGTTATTTATTAATTTGCTAACAATTTTAAATGACTTGCTATTCTTTCATCGATTAATTACTCAAAATAAGCTTAATTAAAATTATCCATAAGAAAATTCTCACATGTTTATTAATATAACTCTAAATTTTGTGTAACTACATTTTCCATCTAAGTTTCTAATTAAGATAAGTCCTATTTAAATTATAATTCTAATTTAAGTAATGCTTATTAATCATTCTATCCTTGTTTATCAATTTCCTTTTTTACTTATGTTTCTATTAAATCTTTAATATCAAAAATGAATGTTATATCTTCTATTAAATCTTTTTTGACATCATTGCTTATAATTTAAAATTATTATTGTTATTAACACTGTTAAACTTTTGGAATTAATTCATTTTCTATAATTTCATTTGCCTTTGCTACTGGGTCAATTTGATTCTAACTACTATAATTTTAATTATTATTAATGCTATTATTTTCCCATTATTATTACTACTATAATTATTAAATATCCTCTTCCTTGATATAAGGAGGTGGAATTAAATGAGATTATTAAATTATACTTGAACCTTTTTTTTTAGAAGTATTTTAATCATAAAGCTAGAGTAAATTTTCAGGTTGAACTGCATCAAGTCCAAGATCACTGTAAAACCAACCCATTAAAATTTTATCTCTTTTTTCAGATTGTAATCCAAATATATAAGGCAATTCATGATCTGTCAATTCCAATTCTTAATTTTAGAAATCTTTAAATCCTTATTAAAATTCTAAATATTCTTTTTCAGATTGACATTTATTTTCTCCATTTAAAAATTTTGATGTCTATTCAGGAGGTATTATAAATTAAATGAAAAATCCAGAGGCTGATCCTTCTTTAACAAATTTCTTAATATGCTTAATTTTACTCTATTCTTTTTTCTAACTCTAAAGTATAATTAATTTAATTACTTCAGATTAAATTAGTTATGCTATATAAATTTATACAATCATATCTTAAGTTTGATATAAAATAAAGAGAAAGTTCTGTGTTGAATCTATTTAAAAATCAATTAATTCTACTTGTTACTTGCTTCACATTAATTAAATATTTATTACCTTAAATTGAATTTAAATTTAACAGACTCACTTGGTAATAGACTTGATGTATGCAAATCTTCTTTGTCAAAAGTCCAAAAAATAATCCTTTTTTATGATGTAATTGTAAAAAGTGCTATTTGATTATTATGTTCAAATAATTAAAATTTTAAAGGTTCAGATTCTGTATATTTAAGATTATGTTCATTTATTACTTATAAAGATTTGGAATTAAGAACCTATAATTTAGAATCTTGAGTTAAAATAAAGATGTATTTTAAACATCTTGTTATAATCACTTATTTTGCAGCCTATTTGAGTTAGGATTTGACGAATTTATTGTCTAATTAGATTAGATATATTTATGAATTATCAATTAAAATAGCTCCAATTTATTATGAACAATATAATTTAGGTTATTATAATCCTTCTATCTTGAGTTCATTAGATAGTGTAAATTGATATTAGTAATCAATTTTGTAAAATTGTATTAACTCTTTATTTTGGATTATTATTAAATAATATTAATGTGGAAAATATGCAAGAACAAAATCTGTGATTTCTTTTTCTGTATTTAGAAAATATTTTTCTTAGCTATCAATACATGAGACTAAGTAGAGACATTAAGAAGATTTTTTGCATACAAAAAGATAATCTAAACTTTTTATTTCTAATGCATGAAAATTTTCAACATCAGAGACATCCACTGTTTCTGAATCTAATATTGTATTTTAGCTTGAAGCACATATATATCTATTATTTAATTAAGAATTTACTTGTAATGATTAATACTTGAAGACATTTAAATTAATAATTGAATTATATTAAATATATTTATCAAGGATTTTGAATAACTTTGGAAATTCATATTTATTGAAAATATTGCAATTTTTAAAATATAAATTTGAGGAGCATATTTTTTTAAATAATGGAATCTATATTAAATAAATTCAAGATGAAATTGAAAAAAATAAACTTTAATATAGTTATGATTGATATTGTTTAGTAATCAAATTAAAAATTTCTCTAATACTTAACTCTAAATAAGTAACATTTCCATAATTTCAAATTAATTCTATTAAGCAACTAAATATTCTTAAGGGCTGCTTTTTTTATTGATATTATTTAGATACATATTTGATTTCAATATTTAATTTTAAGATTGACTTTAAGATAAGTATTCTTAGCCAGCATTAAGTAATAAATTGTCTGAAAAATTGGCTATAGCATTAAGTTTAGCATTAAGAGTATTCTCAGAGTGAAATAATTCTTTTTATAATTATATTAAATCGTTAGCAACAGATTCAGGTTTCAGATTATCAATTTTATCAACAAGACTTTTATATTATTTACCAAAGTATAGAGCATCACTTAATAGATAATTCTAAAATATATATAAATGAATATACAATAATTTCTTAATTTTCAATTAGTTCTTTTCTGAGTTGTGTAATTTCTTTATCTTTGACTTATTATATTTGATTGCATTAAGTTTCATAATAAGCAAATGTTTCTTCTTTATAATGATTGAATTATTATTAACACATTTCTAGAGCATGCTTGTTAATTTAAATTAAATTTATACTTCTAATTGTTATTAATTTGATTTTAATTGAATATTTTAATTTTCACATTCATAAAATAGAGAATTTAATTATTCTTTTTATTCTTTTAGAAGAAGATCACTAGATTTTAGAATTTCTAAAGATTATTATAATTTTTCAATCTAATCATAAAATATATAATAAATATTACTTCTTCTTATTTGGATTATAATTCTTATTTGATGGATGTAATTTAAGCATTTAAATCTTAAATTTAGACTTACTATTGTTTATTTGTATGTTATAATTTGGTAATTTATTCATTTAATTTTAGAATAACTTACTTTTTTTATTCTAATTCATCAATTTAAAACTTAATAATTTTTTAAGAGCCTGATACATTATTTAGTTATTTAATTTAAGCTGATTTAAATTTATCATTACTAACATTATATTCTTTATTGTTCTTATTTTAAGAGATAGGTGTTTTACAGTTTTCAAAGTTACAACTATTAAATCGTTAATGATGAGATTTATTAATAGTCTTTTAAGTGGTATTAGGATGAGATTTGAATTTATTTTGTATTTATGCTAATTGTTTATTAAGTATATCTATTTAAGAAGTGGCAAACTATTTAGATTTAACTTCATCTATGATTTCATAGACAATACTAACAATGTCTTTAACCATAGATTAGAATTAAGATGTCTAATCATTGCAAATTTCTTATTTTTCAATAATGGGTCTTTAATTAAGTTCTTGTATTAAGAGAAAGATCATATACTTTAATAAAATAAGATCTGTGCTTCTATAGAAGTCATAACATGTAGATGCATTATCTAAACAGAAAAGCTTCATTTTAGCAATAATAGCAGCACATGTATTATGATCATTTTCTTTAGCATATTTTAATAGTTTAACCTTTTTCTCAATTTATTATAGTACAGGAGAGGTTGATTATGAAATGGTTGAAATTTAAGAATATTTTTAGAGATGGATGTCAAACAGATTCTCATTCTAAGTAAAAGAAGAGCATGATGCTTTTTCAGTTGGCTTCATTAATCTCTCTGTCCATTGTTCAACATCATATTATTATTTAACTTACAAATAAGGAACAGGAGATGATTTCTCAAATAATTAATTGATTTCTCTACAGGCAAATGGTCTAGGTTATAGAGGAGAGACTGAGTGTTCACTTCTTTTTTTGTTGCCTGAGTATAGATTTTAGAGTTTTTATAGTAGCTAACTACTTGATGCTGAGTTCATTTATAATTAACAGATATTTATACTAGGTTTAGTATACTCTTTAAATTTTATAAAAACATAACTATTCCTTTTTTTATTGCTTTCTTCACTTATCTCTATTCATTTATTGTAATAATTATGATTCATATTCATAATAACATTCAAACAGTGAATATTTATACTTTTATACAATAATCTTCAGTGAACTATTTCAACAATTATTTCAATCTTAATATTGTAATTAATAACCACGCCATTCACTCATTTACTATATATATATATTATTTAACTAATATGTTTTTAAACTTAAATTATGATATTATTTAAGAAGTAAATATTCAAAATTATTATCAATCATTTCAAACACTAATCATTTTTTTTTCATATATAACCATCCAGTAACTCCTATTGTCATCAAAACTAAACTAATAATTTCAATGTTTCTTCTATTTTTAGTAACTGATTCATTCTTTTCTTATTATGATTCATGTAAAATTTATTACATTTTCATAACTATTTCATTTCTCTCATCATTATCATCACAATAAATTGTATATTCTTTATTATCCTCTTATGTTTAATCATATGAATAAACAGTTTATAATTCTTCTTTTAGAGTTATAACTCCTATCCGATGAAAACTATCATCTGAAGAAATTGATGCAAGGGATTTCTAATTTTAAGACTTAATCTATTATTCACTTTAATACTCCATTATCTTTTCTGAATTCTTATTACTATCTACTATCACTGATTTAAAATGCCAAGGTTATTTAGGTGATATACATCTTTAATGATATTAACTATCATTTTCCTCTATTTCATCCTATTCTCTTTATTGTAAACCAATTTAATCTTATACTTAAGTTTCTCTATATTATGACAGTTTTCTTTAACCTTTTTCAAAAAGATTATGATGAGTTTTAGATCTGAATTTTTAAAGAATTGATATTTAATTATCTTTTTGTTTATCTTTATGCTATGTTTGTTAATTATCTTTAAAATTAATTTAAGATAATTAATCTTTAATTTCAAGAATATTTTCAAGGATCTCTAAAATATTATATTTTGAACTTAGTTCTAATTCACTTTATTCATTAATCAACTCTTTCAATTTCATAACGTACTCAAAATAAATATAACAATTACATACATGTATCTTCAGTATTTTTAGAAGTATCAAAAACTTAATTGCGTTTTTTATTTAATGGTTTTCTTTTATTAAACTAATCTAAATCTATTACTATTTATAATTATTTAATCAATCTATTATTAAGATTCGCATGATTTTCTTTAAGCTCATCTAACAACATGTGATTATTTTTAATTTAATTTTGAACCTTCAAAATTTAATACTATATTTACAAATTAATAACGATTTTTTAATTATAAGTTTAACTATCCTTATGAAATCAAAGTTTTATTGAATTCTTCATTCTCTTCTTTTATTAAAAGAAAGCGCTCTGTACAGATGTTTATTCCTTCTTTGAGGTCTTGCATCTTCTAATTAATTGAAGGGTTTTTATTAATTGAATTTATCGATTTTTCAATCTGTTATAATTGAACATCCTTAAAATCAAGATCAATATGGAATTTTTCTCTTATGTTTTTGATATTGCTTATAATTTATTATTATGTATCAATATTATTTTGATATGCAGCAATTTCTTAAGATTTTTAGAATATTGTTCTCTTGAATTAAGCAATTTTAATTTCTTTTTTTGAGTATGTATTTTCCCAATTAGAGATAAATAATTCAAGGAGTTTAGTCATTGATAAATTGCTAATATTCTATCCATGTTTTTGAAGATAAAGATAAAGCATTTGAAATAACTAATAGTTTTATGTCAAACAGATTTCATTCATAGATTTTATTTATTTACATAAATTATAAAACACCGTTAATAACATTAATACTCAATCTATTTTCATTCTTTGGTTTAAGTTTCTTGAGTTGTTTATTCTGGTTAAGGTTCCTCTTCAACTTCTTTTCTTTATTCAACTAAACTCTTTTAATATGTTTAAATGGTTTGTTAATATTAAGACTTAAGAATAGCAAAGAGATTCATTTATTTCAAAGCTGTGAATAGAAGAGTTTTGAATTCTTCAAATTTTTAAGCTTCAATGAATTTTTTAACTATTGTTAATTATTCTATTAAGTATTGTAATAATTCTTTGTTATTGTATTTTTCCGCTAGAAAAATAAGTTATGACTTAAGTTCGTTTAAACTAGTTGTATATAGAGTTGAGATTGGTTAGATAACAACAACTTTGTAAGTGAAAAGAGTAGCATTCAAATGTTATTTAAAATTGAGTATGACAAAGACTTTCAATTGTTCAACCTTTTATCCTCCAAGTGTTTGAATCTCATTTTTCATTAGTGTAAAGAGTCCTTGAGTTAATTCTGTAAGATTATGAGCCAATTGAACTGCTCTTTAATTATAAGTTGTTTCTGAATTAGATGCCTTAGATTCTTTCAATATAGCCTTTTATAATTTGGCTACATTGCCTTCAATTGAAGCAAAGAATTTATTTGCTACACTGTCACAAGTCTAAAGTACAAATTGAGTAGCACCATTATTCTTAGCCAAATCAACTCCTTAATCAAGTGCTTTCTTTGAGTTCTCTCTTAGTTAATCAGTAAGTTCTTTTCCTTTTTACTTTAGTTTCTATCCTTGCTCTGTTATATTGAAAGTCTTTTCATATTATTAAACTATCTAGACACTTCTATTAATGTTCTCATCAACTGTGTTTGTTACCTTTTCTACATATGGTTGAGTTATTGTATCTGCATACACAATGATGTTCTCCACAAATTTAGGTGCTCTATTTATTTTAATTTTTAAGTATACTTTAATGGAAGTTTTTAGTAATTTGTGGTGATTAAGGACTTAGTTCTTTATAATATGTTTCCAATGTATTTCTATTATTCTGACATGATATTTAAATTAATGATTGAATTATTTAACAATAGAGCAACTTAAGAACTCATTTCATTATGATGTAAAATCACTATTTAATACGCATTTGACTTTAAATAATTTCTGATTTACAGTTTGCAATGCAAATTAATTAATTTTAATGACGATATAATTTTATCGAAAACCTTATATTAATTATTACGACATTTTTGTGTTCTTGCACATCAATTTCAACGTCTTATCTTTCCAACCTAAATTTGAAATCTTTATAATTATTCAAAATTCCACATATAAATATTGAATCACCATACTTTTCTTACTTTTACATTCATATATAAAGAAAAGAAAAAAAAGAAACTTTTTATTTGGACTGCAATTTCTATAAAATAAATATATATTATTCATAATCAACAATACTAATTCAAATTATACCTTTAAATTAAAAACCTTTTTTTCAAAATAAAAAGTTTACTATCATGTTCAAGAAAGTTTTATCACACATAATTATACAAATTCTTCTATCCATCTATAATCAAAATATTCCATATTAAATTTTAAGAGTTTTTATAAATAATTCAATCGAAGCTTATCCTTTATATTATATATTTCAATTAATTCAATACAAGTTTGTTCTTATAAACTTAAAACTCTAAACCATTCCATTAATTTTTTAATTTATTCTTGTCTGGAATTTCCGAGCTTCCTAAATTTTAATTAAAATTTAAATAAATTTTGCTACGAATTTATTAAATCATATTATTTACTTTTTCTGGGATCCTCTCATGAAACTTTTTAGTAATAAATTTATTAATAAATATCCTTTACAAGACTTTTTCATACTAAAATTCAATTATCAATTTAAATATCTATCAAATCTACTTATTAAATATATTTTAAGTTATACAAACAAAACTTACCATTGAACCAAAAATCCTTTATTAATAATTTCTTTTTATTTATTTAGTTAATGAATAAAATTTTATCATAAATTCTAATCTAAAATTTTCAATGGTTTTATAATTGCAATCTTTTCTACTATATTAGTTTTCATACAATAAACAATTAAAATGAAACACTTTATTTTGCTTTTGGAAATATATAAATATTTTTCTTACAATTTTTAGTTATAAATTATTCTAAAATATATTTTATTTTTATATGAGTTATTCAAACAATTTTTATGTATTAAAACCTTCGATTTAAAACATTGTAAAATAATGGTACAAAAAATTCATATTTAAAATTCTAAAAATATTGATAGCAGTTTAGTAATAATATATGAATTAGAAAAGATATGAAAAATCTATTAAAAATGATATAATAGAAAGTATTTAGAATTTGTTATATTAATTAGAAGGTAAATAACTTAGTTTAATTTAGTTTAATAAATATAATATAATACGCATTATTGAACTTACTGCATCATTAAATATAAATTTAATAAACCACTTTTTACTCTTATATAGATTAAACATATATTTAAGTGGTTTTTTGCAAGAATATTCTCTAAAAATATAACTCAAAGTGGATTTCTTGTAAGTTAAAGTACCCTTTTATCGAATACTTAAGATTAAGATTGATAGTAAATGTTTATTCAGGAAAATTTAAGTAATGTTAGAATTTTACAAATTTTTCTTTAATATATTTAATTGACATCGATATTTACTTTGAATTGACTAAGATGAGTACCTCAGCATAGTTAATGGCAGTTATAAGTGAAAAATTGCTCAAAACTTAAGGAGATTCAGATAGTGTTATTCCTGATTCAGATTAAGAAGAAAAATTACAGATTCCTTATCAAAAAGGAACACCAAATTTCTCAATAAAGCCTCCAAAACGTTTAAGATTTAGCAGAAAGAATTAAATTTGCTATTTTTAAAAAGGGTCAATAAGTGATATGTCTCCTTCTACAACAAGAAATAATTCAATATCAACTCATTCAATACTCAAAAATAAAGAAAGCCCAATTTTATTTAGAGAAAATAAATGATATAAAATATTTATGTTGACTATGTTTTTCCTAATAAATATTCCTAATTACAAAAGTTAACTTAGAACTAGACTATTAGAAATAAATTATAAGGATAAAATAGAGAATTGAATTTTATTATGTTATAGACTGAATTTTTAAAAACAAATGAAAGTAATAAAAATGAAATAAAGAATATCAGACACAAAATATTTAACTTTTTTATCATCATGACATAGATTTTTTAATAAGCTTTCTATTGTTAGGAATATGAGATTAATCTGGATTTAAATAATTTTAATTTTTTTCACTCTAATAGTATAATTATATTTATCATACCATTTAACAATTTTTTAATTAAAGAAATAGTGAAGAGGTTTGAAGTTCTTAACGAATAGAATTCTATACATATAATAATTATTTACTTATCTAATTGCTATAATGCAAGTACTTAATTATAGAGGAGTCAAACATTCTTTAAGTTGTTCCCATATTTAATCAACCTTACTGGCTTCACTTTGAATTAATTTTAATTGATCATTAATTTTTTGAATTGAACTGAATAAGATTAATAAATACTCAGATATATTATTTCTGGCACTCTGTAATTTAGTTTTCATTTTTTTAACCTTTAAAATTTATTCTGGTTAAATTTATATTTTATAAAAGGTTTCTTTCATCCAATCAGTATAATCTCTATTATTTATTGATATAAATTACTCTGTAGATTGAGCAAAGAAATCTTTATCATTATCTAAGGAATAAATAAGATATTTAGTTTATATAGGTAAACATACTTCAATCATAGAATCAAAGTATTGTTTAGTAGCATCATTACGTTCTTGACTATTTGACTTTATTATATTTCTTAAAGCATCTAATAAGATAGCAATTTCATAATTATCTTAATTTTTAAGTAAACAAGTTTCTAATTTATCAAATAATTATTTTTCTTAATCTAAGAAAAGTTAAAACTAAGTTTTCTTGATAATACATATACTTTTACTTGAGTTTTATTACAAATATCATAATATTAAGACTCGTTATGATTTGATTCCTTTAATCTTTCAACTTCATATTGCAACTCTTTGACTTTTGCCTCTAAAAGTTCATAATATATTTTCTTTCTTGCTCTTGAATTTTTAGCAGATTATCTATTCTTAGCCAATTTTTATTAGACTAAATTTATGTTTCCACTAAGACTTATTTAACTTGATTAAATTTCATTTGAAGTGACATCATTTTAATTTCTATGAATCATTGATGATTTTCTCTAAAATTTTTGTTGATTCTTCCTAATAAATAGTATTTTCAATAATTTACGATAATTTTGTTGAGGATTTATTAGCTATATCAATTTTTTTTTATGTTTTCTCAACTAATTGTGCAATTTTGTTTACGTAAATACTCTTTGATTGATTCACATTAAAAAGATTTTTGTTTTCTTATATAATATTTTGATTAACAAGCTACTCTATTTCTGGTTTGAATTTTTAATTTATTTATACTCCGGATTCTATAATAAAGGCTATCTAAAATAAATACCTATTTTTATCTCAAATTCTTTTAATGAAGGTTCAATATTCTTCATTATTTTATTCTATAATGGATTTTTGAGTTCTTTTAAATCTTCTAATATTTTTGCTTAAATATTCAATCTCTCATTTCCAATTTCTTCAAACTACATTTCAAAATCTCCACTACTCCTAAAAAAGTCTGCTTTTTAAATTTAAGGTTCTTAGTCCTCATAAATTTATATTGGTACAGCATAATCTTCTAAACCCATTGAAGAACTATATTATTTTGATTGAATAAGAAACCAAGAATTATGAACAAAACTTCCTCCATAGCTTTAATTATTTTATTGCATTCTTCCAAAGCTAGTACTTAAACTTATTGTATATAAAAAAGAAAATACATATCTTATAAACTGTCCAGTCCACTTTAATTTTATTAGGTAATCTCACTTCTATTAGGCATAAAAAAATCACTCATATCAATTATATTTTTAATTTTATGATAAATAAAATTAAAGATCTTTAATTCTTTAGATTTTAATTGATGGACAATCTAATAATAAACTTCAATTTTATTCTTCTAACAATTAATATTATGAATTTAAAAAAATTTAGAATATATTGCTTCCAAAATTTTTATAAACGAAAAAAGGCTTACACAGTTATAATTAATAAATAATAAAAGAGAATTTATAACTGCTAAAAATAAATCAAAATCAAAAATGTTTTAATAAGACAAATTTTTATAGTTATTTTTTATTCAAACTAATTATATAATATGTGATTAATCAATTAATTTCTTGCTTTTCATGATTTTTGGAACTGATAATTATTTAATTGATATTTTTTCTTTTTTGGAGAAGTTCATTTTTAATTGGTTAAGACAGACTATTTATAACCCAAGGATGATCTAAAGCTTATTCTGGTGTTAATCTTTAATATTAATTCCATTATAAACATTTGTTTATAAACTAATTTTTAGAATTTAATTTATACATCATAAAATTCTGCATCTGCTTTTTCTAGTAATTGAGAAAGAGGCTTCAATTTTTAAATATAATCTGTCTATTTTACTTTATAATTGAGTTGGTATTTATCATCAAAATACTTTGATCTTTTAGGACTTTAATCAATAATGTCCTTTGAAGGCATTCCTAAAACTTTAGTCTAAATATATAATAATTCTTTTTCAGTTTTAGATTAGAACAAAGATTCTCCAAGAAAGAGTTCAGCAATTATACATCCAAAACTCCACATATCTATTTAGAATGAATAATTTATTCTAAGGATTATTTCTGGAGCTCTATAAAATCTGCTCTTTATTTTAATTAATAATATATTTACTTGAATATAAGTATACATTTTATTATTAGCAAAACAACTTGAACCAAAATCTATCACTCTTAAACCAGATTTTGTAAGTTCTTTTAAGAGGATATTCTCTGGCTTTAAATCACAATGGATTATGTTGCATGCTTTTAAATAAAAAAGAGCTTAAAGGATTTAAATTGCAAATCTTCTTATTAAATCAGGTTCCAATCCTACAAAATTATTTAAAGCTATAAATTCGTAGAGATTACAACAAAGCAATTCAAATACCATGCACTTACTAATTTAATTTAGATNTATAAAAAAGAAAATACATATCTTATAAACTGTCCAGTCCACTTTAATTTTATTAGGTAATCTCACTTCTATTAGGCATAAAAAAATCACTCATATCAATTATATTTTTAATTTTATGATAAATAAAATTAAAGATCTTTAATTCTTTAGATTTTAATTGATGGACAATCTAATAATAAACTTCAATTTTATTCTTCTAACAATTAATATTATGAATTTAAAAAAATTTAGAATATATTGCTTCCAAAATTTTTATAAACGAAAAAAGGCTTACACAGTTATAATTAATAAATAATAAAAGAGAATTTATAACTGCTAAAAATAAATCAAAATCAAAAATGTTTTAATAAGACAAATTTTTATAGTTATTTTTTATTCAAACTAATTATATAATATGTGATTAATCAATTAATTTCTTGCTTTTCATGATTTTTGGAACTGATAATTATTTAATTGATATTTTTTCTTTTTTGGAGAAGTTCATTTTTAATTGGTTAAGACAGACTATTTATAACCCAAGGATGATCTAAAGCTTATTCTGGTGTTAATCTTTAATATTAATTCCATTATAAACATTTGTTTATAAACTAATTTTTAGAATTTAATTTATACATCATAAAATTCTGCATCTGCTTTTTCTAGTAATTGAGAAAGAGGCTTCAATTTTTAAATATAATCTGTCTATTTTACTTTATAATTGAGTTGGTATTTATCATCAAAATACTTTGATCTTTTAGGACTTTAATCAATAATGTCCTTTGAAGGCATTCCTAAAACTTTAGTCTAAATATATAATAATTCTTTTTCAGTTTTAGATTAGAACAAAGATTCTCCAAGAAAGAGTTCAGCAATTATACATCCAAAACTCCACATATCTATTTAGAATGAATAATTTATTCTAAGGATTATTTCTGGAGCTCTATAAAATCTGCTCTTTATTTTAATTAATAATATATTTACTTGAATATAAGTATACATTTTATTATTAGCAAAACAACTTGAACCAAAATCTATCACTCTTAAACCAGATTTTGTAAGTTCTTTTAAGAGGATATTCTCTGGCTTTAAATCACAATGGATTATGTTGCATGCTTTTAAATAAAAAAGAGCTTAAAGGATTTAAATTGCAAATCTTCTTATTAAATCAGGTTCCAATCCTACAAAATTATTTAAAGCTATAAATTCGTAGAGATTACAACAAAGCAATTCAAATACCATGCACTTACTAATTTAATTTAGATATCTTACTATATGATTTCTAAATTCAAAATAATTCATTAATTTTATGAGGCAATAAGAATTATCTGCCTTATTTATTATTTTTAATATATCTATTTCAATAAGAGCTTATTAATAAAATTTTTCTCTGTTTTTGATTATTTTAATTGCCATTTCTTTGTGATGTTTATGATCATAAACTTTAAAAACGTAACCAAAACTACCATTTCCTAATTTTTCTAGTAATTCATATCTAAAAGCTATTTAATCATGTTTTATAAATCTATAATCTCCACTAAATTAATTAATTTACTTTTTACTTTTAATTATCATATCCATTATTATATACATTTCCTAGTGGATCTCTCTAAGCTGTTGAAATATTTTTAGGAGCAAGATAATAGATAGTTTCATAATCAATAATTTCATTCTTTTCAATCTCATTGAGTTAATCTGAATAATATTATAAAGCAATAAAGGAAGATTAGGGAAGTTATAATTTATCAGGAATTTATTTGATACCAGGTTAATGAGTTGTTAATGAATAAGTTTTAGTTTAAGTTCTTTATTTAATATTATTTGTGATATTGTTTTGAAGATCTTAAAACTTTTATTAGTTTTTCTCCAAAAAAAGTAGTTTTTGAGATTTACTTAAATTAGTATTTTGAATTGTAGATGAAATCTTTTGTGATGCATCTTATTCCAATTATTCTGGATTGGTTCTTAGATGTTACTTTGAAATCTAAGGTACAAGATTACTATTAATCTAAGTATTAATTTCTAATATCATATAAAATTGTGTTACTTTTAGCTTAATCAAACAAATGTAATTAATCTTATTCTTTAATAAGAATCGATTTTAGCTGAAGTTATTAAGACTTTTAAAATTGTTTTGCTTATGTTTCATTTTAATGAATTTCAACTTGTATATAAGAACAAAATACTATGATTGCTAAAACTAATTGCCTTATTGGATTTTAAAATTTCAGTTGGAGACTTGATATTTTATCGTTAATTGGCTCTGCTAGTAATTGGTTAGTATTCTTTTATGAATTGTTTTTGAGTTTATCTAGCCAAGTTAATTTTATAAGGACTTTTGCCAATTATATCAAAGCTTCTTATTTTTTTTGTATTTTCCCTGGTTGATTAATAAGTAGTTGTATTCTATTTTGGTTGGATGTTGACTAGATTTAATAAACTGAGTTATTTCATTATATCCACTTTAATGAAAATTAAAGTATTTAAAGATGAAAAGTATTAGTTGGAATTAATAAAATGTAAAGAATTTATTATTAACAAATACAAAAGGAATACAATTGAATATAAATGTATTAAGATCTTTAAATATTTTTTAATATAACTAAATACTTAATTTACTATATAATTTTTGAAGTAAATAATAATATGTTTCCTTTTGTGGACAACTTGTTGAGAAATGATTTTCCTTTATTTTTTTTCGACGATATTTTTATTCCAGGACCAGGAATTAGAGTTTAAGTTCCTCGTCCACCATACACAAATAGACAATTCAGAGATTAAGCTCCAAAAGTAATTTGATGGAGAATTTATTGAAGCCACCAAGTTTGAAGTTAATGTAGAGTGTGAAAAAATCATTGAAAAATTATTCAGAAACACAAGGATAATACTGGGCTATATTGGGAGATGAAGCATATGAAAAAGGTGATTACTTTAGGGCAATAACACATTATACAAAAGCAATCGAAATATCAGAGGGAACAGAGGGTTCATTTTTTAGAAGTAGAGGATTAGCTTTGAAATAAGCAGGAAGCTTGGAGCCAGTATGAAATTGATATTATATCACTTTAGGCTTATCGAGATGCTATAACAGCAATAGAATTGGATGATAAAAATATAAAGGCTCATCTGTTATGTGGACAAATATTGGCTGAACGTGGAAAGAGTGCAGATAATACATAAGATATTGAGATGGCTATAACAAGATTAACAAAGTCTAGGACATTGTGTGCAGGATAAAAAAAGGAATATTATGAGGATGAGTTAAGTAAGTACATTTATAGAGCTAAAAAATTGTTGTGGTACAAAAATTAAGAAATAAATAATA